CCAATACTATGTTTTTTACGAGGTGTATTTCCTCGCAACTTGGCAAACGTAATTTTGTATAAGTTTTTCTGCGCAAATAATGTGCATATTCGTGTTTCCGTCTCTGAATCTATGTTTCGGGCATTCCTTTTTGGTTCATCGCTTCTTCTTGAAGTTCTCCTGGTCTTGTGCCCTCTGCTTTTGCGATAAGAAAGGGCGATGGAGGTCGATGAAAGTACTTCTCCCACCACCGATGAGATCAGCCAAGGCACCGTGTCCGTGCTTTTGCATCCAATCGTTGTCCTAAGCATATCTGAGCATTGGATGCGAGCAAAACTAGCGGAAGATTCTTCGATACCCCAAGTTTTCGGTGCCCTTTTGGGCAAGCAGAATGGCCGCACCGTCGAAGTAAGTCATCTCTTTTTGAATTCCTATGTTAGGTCATGTCGTCCTTCGAACTAGTTGTTAGTGCCGAGAGGACGGTCGACATTGAATTTTTTAATAACCGTGAGTCCCAATCTAAACAAATATTTGCGGATCTCGATCTGGTCGGTTGGTATACTACTGGCAAATCAATCAACGAAGAGGATAAGCTCTTCCATTACCAAGTAAGCCAAATACCTTTTGTAAACCGTCCCTTTGCTAGATGCAAGAAATCACTGAAGCGCTCCTCATTGTGAAGTTGGACCCGCTTGATAAACTCGGCGAACAACTGCCGGTGCGCGTTTACGAGTCGGTTGTCGATAATGATGCTCGTTTCCTATTCAAGCGAGTAAGTATTTGGTTCGTTAGTGCGTAGTCCTCACTTGCCAATCTTCTCCCGGTTAGTTCTTTTACTCGAAATCTAGTTTTCACCTTTATTTCACGCGGTAATCAGCTGGTTTTTATGAAATAGCTAACTTTGCAGAACGATATCGGCAAATGCGCACTGGGTCTGTTTTCTGTGCTCCGTTTGCTGGATGGGACACTTGTTTAGAAATTGCGTCGAATCTGTCTATCCCCTGTGATAGTAATAAACATCTTACGTAATCTTCTGAGCTGACTGCCGTATCTGACTTGTATTGACTACTCAAGTGTGGCATTTTTGCACAACTATATCGCAGTCATTTCCAGTTTCGGACTGCCACTACTCACTTACTTCCTTCATCCCTTCTAATAGAAATGAGTCATCGATCGCGTGTTTTTATTTGTGTGACCAAAGCGAGATAAACATCCACCGTTGACAGCCTGTCACAAATACAAGTAAACAACAATTTTTTAACGCGTCGGTGTGAGCTTAAATATGATTTCTCGAACTTTTCCCATATAGAAAAAAGAATTGGTGAAATGCCGGCGGTTTCATACTGAGGACTACCTCGCTGGTGTTATACATAAAAATATCAACAAGATTAAAGAACCTGAAAAAGTGCCACCTTAACTTTCGACACTGATACTGAATGCGAAAATTCAAATCGAAATTAATTTCGCCAGATGTATATTTGACAACCCTCCCTAAACTTTTATTACGCTAACTGACGATATTTCATATTTTCCTATGTGCATCTTCGTCGACTTTCACTGCTTTTGGTTTAGTCAGCTCACGATATTTCTGGCCAGTGCTCCTCGTATTATTTTGTCTCCTACCGCTACTGTTTGGGGTCAGACCTAACGTAATTTACTCATTTTCCGATTGCTTACGGCGGTGATTGTGCCAGTTATGACAACCGAACTATTTTTTATCTTGCCTCCCGTACTCAGCTAGGGGTGTTCCAAATCACTGTTAAATCTTTCGAAAAGTGATCCATTAACCGAAGTTTCAATATTCCCCAAAGATACAGTTGTTAATTACACCGATCCGTACGAATTAAGCAGCCTGCTTATGCCACCTTGTATATCTATACGGTAGCACAGTTTAAGCTGTAGTCCCATGCACTCTAATTGTTGCCATTTTGGATTTTCATCGAGACCATATTCTCTTGCAGAGTCGGCAACTATACCATCCACAAGTTCTTTGTAACCATATTTTTCTCCTTTGACACTCTGCCGGCTGGTGTGAAACGAAACTGTTATGCCGTGCGTCAATCTTCGTAATATGCATTTACTGGAGACAGCAACCGTGTTCAAGTATAGAATGTGCCTTTTCAAGGCGATTTCCAACCAAAGTGATATCGTCGTGCTATTCAAGAACATGAAGGAGGGCGTTTCTTCTTCAGGCAGACGCACGCGCATATATAAAAAAACTTAAATCACCAGGACTAGGATCACTCATGACGTCGTCATCCTCCAGCGCGGACGACGGTATCCTCATTTTTTTCCCATTTTTTGGGTAGGAAGGTAGAACGCAATTTCTTCAGTCCCGGGGTGAGTATATCGCCTTTACTAAAATATATTTAGTCCGAGTAGCCCACAGCTTTAACCACAATACTGACCAATCATAATCAACATACGACAATCGGGTGTCATTGTGTTTTGCCAAGACGAAACGACTTGCTACGCCTGCTTTTACTGCGTCGAAGTTTCTAAATGTCGTGTTTCTGAAGTGCAGCCGCACTGCCGTAAGCATGTGCTGCACTCTTCTGTTTCACGCGGATAACAGTTGAGAACTACGTTTGCCCATCATTAACTCACTAGCTTGTAGTTGGTCTGTGCGTTGAACTTTCCTGTTTTTAATATCTCTTTTACGAGACTGAAGCCTATGATTGTTTTCAGCGAAACCAAGAGCCAGTTGCCCTTATCCTACTGACTGTCAATGGCAAATTTCTTACAGACACGGTGAGCCATCGGATCAGTGTTTTCGCTTTAAGCTTTGCAGCTTCTCGTGACGATATTGGTTGTGCTAGAGAAAACTAGGATGAGAACACCGCGTGGCCGGTGCGTAGGTTATGAACCGGCGACTACACTGACTTCGGTAACTGCGTCGGCGAAGATTCTCTTGATAGCGTCCGAATTTTACAAGCTACTTATATGTTTACTCAATGCATTTCAGTAGGCGTAGTTTTTATTTGTTCAGTGGTTTTTGACATGACTCAGCGCAGTAGTCCTATTGATTTGGAACCTGAATGGCTTGGCAAGGCTGCTACAAAATTCTGGCCTGCAGCACGCAATCGCGGAGCTGCAGGTTTTCTCTTGGATTTCCTTTCCTATTGTGCTAACCGTACGATCGCTTCTATAGAAGTTCCATAGCCTTCGACTTAACGTAAGACCGCCTCAGTTGCCACTCGTTACCTTTACATAATCGCGATTACTTTTTTGTCTAAGATGCATGGCTGATGATCGCACGAAAATACTTTTGGTGACTTTGCGGTTTAACAGAGAGAAAACACCTTTACGCAAGAAAATGGACAGCGACATACATCATCTGGAGTATTTAGGTTCGTAGGAAAAGAAAAAGAGACCCAATAACCTCGTCCAGGGTCAGCGAACACCCCCCAACTTACAGGCGTCCACCGTTGGTCCACTAGGAGTTAGCAATGATTTTTGAAAAAAGGATCTCAGTGACCTCGCCAAAGGTCAGCGAAAACCCTCCAACTTACACACGCCCGCCGTTGGTTCAGTAGGGGTCAGTGATGATATTATAAATATGTTCCTCAGTGACCTCGCCCAAGGTCAACGAACACCGCCGCCAACGATACATCCACATATCTTAGCTCAGGGAGTGATACGGCTTGCTTCAATTTAGCCCTCGAATATACCGGCCACAACGCAGCCGGTTGTTTACAGCAGCCAGTCACAGGACGTTTAGAATTCTAACATTAAACATTACATATAACTATTTTATGCATTTGCACAGTAGTATTTTTACCAGGTTTTTCTACTATTTATAATAAAAGCCTAATATTACAAAAAGTCTTAAAAAAGTCCATTATTACTGGGTTTTGGGAAAAGGGAAAGTTTCCGGAATAAAACTCCACAGTTCCAGGCTTGTCGACATCGATTCGAGCTCGATTCGAGCACGATTTGTTTTTCGCGCGTTTTTTTTAGGTTTACGCGCCCAACGCCGTCGCTATATAACCGCCGCATTAAACTATTTCAACTAAATTTTACGACTTTTTGTACTTATTTTACAACTTCCTTTTTTCGTCCATCCGTTTTCCCCGCCCATAAAAACCTCATTTTCACGGCTCCCGTAAGACAGAAACCTAGGGCTTCTTGTAACCAAGACCACTACCAACACAACTTCTGCTACTGAGTCCTTCGGTCATGCGAAGATGGTGAGAAAAGCAACATACGTTCATGTTAAGAGATCTACTACGGTGTCACAGCACTCCTTCCTTTTACATCCAGGCATATGAGTGAGCTGTGAATGGGAGCCTGCAAGGGTTGCTATTTTTGGTTCGCAAGTACATTTTTAGCCTGCGTACAATTGGACCTTTCTCCAGGTTCACCTTAAAAATGTTTCCACCCACTTATTTCCAAAACGGTTGAAGTGGCCAGTCCTGTCACCAACCACCTGACTTATCTTTCATGTTTTGATTGATTTCAAGGTCACCTATACGCTGGCTCAAGGAGAAGCAGAACGAATTGGTGTGGATCACATTGCCAAAGTATCCGGGTGCACAACTAGCAAGGAAACATCCCTAGTATGCCATATTTTGTCTATTTAAATGCCTATACATTGCATACTGTTTAACAATTCTCTCTTTGGGTTCTTTTTATTGAAATGTACCACTGATCAAACATACAGGATTCCCCACTGCTATATCTACGATGTTTGTTAAGGACCAATACCTTATTTTATAGCGTGCTTTGATACGAGATCTACTTTTTCACCGGCAGTTTGAAAAGACGAGCTCTGCCAATAAGGCTGCATTGTATGTTGTGTTTTTGATGACTTATTTAGTATTATTAATGGCTGCCAAAACTAGTTTACAAAATATCATGACCATGCATTCATTCTGTTGATGAAGAGCCAGTTATTAAGGCTGGAAACCTGCAATCACAAACTATTCCGAGATGCACTTAAAATGCCTCATACACATACTACGTCATTTGATCACCTAAAGTATTTGCAAAACTTCGCTAGAAAAAAGTTATCATGCATTTCCCCTTTCAGTGTACTACGTTTATTGCTGTGTTTTCGAAGTTAACGTATGAACAATGCTCGTGAGATTGCTCATATGCACCAGATCTCAATTGAAAGTAGTAGAGCACCCTGCCTAGTAAATCCGTATTTACGTTTTTAGGCGAACATGACTTGTGCATCCTAGACTTTGTATGTCACAAGCTGGTGCCTTCCATGCAGTAGGTCAACAGTAGAAGCCCATGCCATGCGAGGTTTTTTTTCTTGTCCGCGCAAACGGTCCTTCCACAGGCAACCACGAGTGTGTGTTGTGTGATAAGCTGGCTGCTTGGCTCATGCACTAATGAATATCATTAAGAATTGTTGAAGCAGGTTTTGTGAAGTAGCCTGTTCGATAAAAAAAGTTTGAAGGTCATCTAAGGCTCGCATTTCCCATGGTGCATGCGTATCAACACGCATTCTATGCTCAAATTGTTCACCGAAAAAGACTAGCAAGATTAAAACGATATTTTCCGGCTTATTTGTCGTCGTGAGCCAACCAAGCCCGAACTGCATTTCAGGCTGATCTAAGATTTGAACCCACTGTGTGATGCGGACTTTTCGTTAGATTGTCCCATTCGAGTTTCAGGCTTAAAGCAATATGGAAACTTCGACGGAAGTATTGCACCACAATCTCTACGTGATTTTCTTTTTCCTCTGTGTTTCTATTAAGCAGCCTCGCAAGCAGCAACTTGTTCAAGTCTTTGGACATTCGTTAATTGTTAACTGTTTAGGCTTCTGGTAGGCTTCTTGGATTCGTGATGAAAACGTTTTGCTCTCTCTGCAAACGTCACAAATGAGGAGATCTGATGTTTGACAGTAACTTTTGGCCGCCCAAAATCAGCTCTTTCACCGTCCAAGAGGATCTTTTTAGCCCTGCCTATCTTGTAGCTGGCAAAATCTTCCACGTATCTTTGGTGTCTTATAAAAACTGCATGCTGAAATCGCATGACTTCGGTTGGCTAGAAGTTGCGTTTTCGCCGAAATGCGTAGCTTATAGTAAGCGGCATTTACTGGCATTTTAAACCACATTTTATTGAGTATAATTAATTAGCCTTTACAAAATCATATATTATCATTTCTTTAAAGTCGCGAAATGCGAGAATATACTATGTTTTCAGCGGAGGAAAAAAACCCTGTGACAAGCAACACCCAACCTTTTCATTTTTTCCCAGTTAACTGACTGGAAGCATCATCGGAAGGTTTTTAAACCCTGTTTTTATACTGGAGCTTTGAAAACCGATTTGTTTCAAGGAAACTCATGGCCAGTTAACGACTTCTTGATTCGTTTGGATTAAGCGACCTCTAAAACCTTTGGACGTGCTCAAGTCGACACAGGAAGACACGATTAAACAGCCTATCCTTCTTGTTAACACACGAGAGACCTGAATGAGCGTTTTTTGTCAGGAAACCGGGAAATTCTGTTGCTAAATGCTTGATCAGATTTTAAGAAGAAGAATGCTATATTGAGAATTTTACAAACCTGAATTTTCAGCAA